CTATTTAAATCGTCAATTATATATCTGGTTTATGTACTGATTTTTTAAGTAAACCACGAGGTAATTCTAAATCATTTTAACAACAAATCACAAATGTATTTATACACAATTTACACCAAACAATAATACGGTTAGTAAGACAATCATATTTTACAAATTAATAACAATTCATTACTAAATAATATTTGAATATTAATCATATTCTAATATCAGTGAAATTATGCTTTAGACAAGGCATATTTAAAGAAAAAATAAAAATACACTAAAAAATATGTCGATTAGATTTTTGTATTCAAATTATGTTGATGTAGTTTAAAAATATAACGCAAGGTATTGTAAATCTCCTTTGAATATCAAAAGTATAAGGTCTTATTTAATTCAAAATTGAAAAAGAAAATTTTTAATTTAGATTTTCCTTTTCACTTTAGAAAAATTGGAAATTTTGAGATTAAAGGGGAAATGTTTTTTATTTAACATGTGATTCTCTCATGAAACTTTTTTGAGTGAATCAGCCTACTATAGCCATAAACTATATATTTAAATATGTATTCACAGCTTATTTTTTGCATCCTGCTAATAATAATGATAATGCACTTTATCAAAACCAACTGTTATTATCGAAGAAAAAAATGCAAACATAATTAAATAAGAAGTCTGACTGACTCCATCTTACAAATGGACATACGGAGATATTTTTGTAAGTCAAAATCTTATTATAATTGTATTCTGTATGATAATAAAATAGTACACTTGGGTGGTCCGGTCGTCAAGTCTTACCTGAGAAAAGCATGCCAGGTATTATGCCTGGCCGCGACGCCGTTGTCACCATACTCATTTTATACTATATTTCATATAAAATAAGAATATACATACTACGTAGTGTAGTGATAGGATACAGGCGCTTCCTCATTGATTATACAAACGTATATGTAATGCTTATATTGATGCATGTCTTGTTATGCTAACATACAATGTAAAGCATGTCCCCTATGTATAAGTACTTATATATAAATATATGTATATATATCTATCATAAACGATACTAAAGACTGGTAGAATTTTGTTATTTCTAATGCTAAACACATCTTAGATTGACTCGACCTCTGACATTAGACGTATCTATAACGAAGATTTATAGGCAAATTAATGTACATTTATCATTGCAAGTCTTTGTTTTTACTTTCACTAAACAGACACGTGTCATCTATAAATTAGCGCGAGGAATTAGGAACTACAATTGCGGTAATCATCAGTAAAAGCAGCTCAACTAGGAACAGGGACATATTTATAAAACATGCTAATACTAGTATATGAACAAAGGAAATTCCTAGGTTGAAAATTATTCATCCATGTAATATATCCATACATAACGTTTCACATGGACCCTATTCTGTTTTTTTAGTAAGACTGCAATGTTGATATCTCATTGAAAACAACAATAGAATAAGAAGACTATGTCGTGTTATGAAAACATGATATTCCTGCTATTAAAAAATTCATATACGATCAGTTAATCCTATACAATAATATTATTCGATATAAATTACAAAATGCAGATATATTCAACAAAATTATTAACCATCGCCCATCAACTCTATTCACAAGTTGTCAAGATAAAATTATATGATGTCTAGATTTATTCTGAATATATATCCGTTAGTGTTTATAGAATGATTTATCATCAAACAAGTTACTTAAGGTGTTATATTTTCCAAGCTTATATTTATTATAAACGTATAAAGTGTGTACCTTTATTTGAGCACAGCTATGCAATGTATTCGAGGTTCAACTAATGTTTTGTCTGGCCTACTATTTTAGGTAGCACTAATTTATGTTTATTTTATCTATGTTATAATAAATATTATTTAGTTAAGTTTAACCATTGCCGCTGTTTCTTTTATTCCGATGTATACTTGTACTCTTGATTCGATTATATAAGAATGTTAAATAGATGTTAATTTAATGTAATTTAATTTAATTTAATTTCATTACAACATGGAAGAGAAATGACATAATGGATTATGTATACAAATTCTTGATTAAACTATGAACAGTAATAACAAACTACATTCATTTAAACTGATTACTTTCTGTAAGTTATATTAAATTATCATAACCAACGGTTCTATTATAATGTTTCACACACATGCATACTTCCATTGTAAATTTTGTTTTTCTGGTGTTTTCCCTTTAACAGATAAATTAACTTTTTATGTATTAAATAAGAAAACAATCATCAATAACTCTTCAATGAATGAAGGGAGATGTCGTCTGACTATTCGTGATGCTAGTATATAAATAATTTCTTCATATCTCGTGAAATAATGTAAAATCAACATGTGTCGAATATCAAACACAGTACCTAGCCTGTAGACTTTCTGTCGCCTTTCGGAGAAGATATACATTTATATAAAATAATATAAAAGTTAATCAATGTGTTGCTAATGCAACAGAGGCAAGGTCTAGGAACATGTGAGCATGTTGTTATATAGAACGTTTGTATAGTTGTGTATATAATTTAAGCTTGAAGTTATATTTTTGATGTTGATCACTTTTATGATGATGTATAACATATTTTCAAAATTATTATATCAATTATTTTGCATACAATTTGTCGAAAAATGCACATTTTATTATACTCGTTTTGATAATCTTATAACTACATATTTATAATATTGACTGAATGGATATTTTGTATCAAAGTTTGCTTTGTTTACCATTGAGTATTCACGATGTTTTCTTAATATCATACTTTTGATTTATTTCGAATATATTTTACAAGAACTGTAGTTAAGGATGATGAACCCTTCTGTCAAAAGTTTTAACTTCATGACATTTTTCTTGTCGCAAATACACTTTTATGCAGGAATACGGATGACATAATGATCCGCCCAGTAGGAGGGTCGTCACAAATTATCTCCCTTTGACTGGTCGGGGATGTTAGGAGCGTTACAATTATATCCTGTGTTGGCTTTCATAATGAAATTAGGTTCTTGTCAATAGTTAAAGTTGTGCCAAACATATAATGTATTATGATGTCTAATTTATGAGAACTTCTGCTCTCAACAAATAGTACGGTAGATATGGTAAATGAATTGTAATTGATTCTATAAACATGAATAATAAAGCTATAATTCAGCGCATGGTCCAAACGCACATACATCTTCACATTCAATATTTTAAACCCATATCAATGATATTTACATATATTGTGCTAAATTTGTCGTTATCTACTTTTCCATTATGACAATTTCTCGCCTCCTTTCCTTTTCAAACGATAATGTTACCGGGTCTAAAGTACTATATATATATATATATATGTTAACGTTTTTGAGGAGGAAATCCTTTTATCGTCGCTCCATTTTATTTTTTACTTTACTCCAAAAGGTGTGAATTTGCCATTCATGTTTAAAATTTTCCATAAATCATTATTATCTAAAATAAGTTTAAATATCTTACATCCCTTGCTTGTTAAAGCGTTAAGAACGGAGGACTAAGTGAAATGTTCGCTGTTGGATTTACCTTTTAAGTACTAGGGAAACATTTCTACCTATGGGCATTGACAATTTACTGTTATCATCCCTACAGATGAATGTCGCGACACCGAATCAGAGAAATCTCTAAATACGTCTACCGTCAAACTTATCAGATATTACAAATCCCTGTACTTTGCTGTTCAGACATCACATTCAGAGGACATAACGACTTAAATGATAAAACAGTCTCAGATTTGCCTACATATCCTGTCTATTTTGGTATTTATCCTCATGAATAGTCGTCAAACTTGAAATAAAAAAGGGCATTCGCTTTTAAAAAAGGAAAAAAATGGAGTGATGTTAATGTGAATATATTTTTTGGTCGTTATGAAAGGGAAAATTACAGTACTACAGCGTTTATGCACAAACGGAAACTGAAATACATTTACAGAAACAGTTATTACCTTTGTGATATCATTATAATATATCACTGAATGGTAAAAATCTTCAAAGGGTTAATTCTCTTTATCTTTACTGAACAGCTATCAGAAAACTTTCCTACTTCTGATAACCCATATCAATTTATTAGTCAAAATGCAGTAGAAAAATAAATTTATATACAGAACAGATTAAAATTTCAAATAATGCCCCCCGGTTCATTTATTGGGTGGATGATGGACGCTAACGTTTTGTTAATTCACAAGAGCTTAATTCATTAAAGCAGAAATAATCATTTCGTTTTAATACGAATTTTATCTTTAACATCATTCAGGGTGTTCTTGCAGCTCCATCATCAATATATAATGCAGTGCTACGTTACCAAGTTGCGTGCGAAGAGATTTTATATATCAATAATAGAATTAAAGAGAATTTTTGCCGATATTGAAATGTAGTTACATTGGTATATACATGGTATATCAGCATAAAACGAATAAAAAATATATATAGATATATCTTTATGTCCATTACATTGAATGACAATTGATCAATATCCATTAAAAGTGTTAAATATCCAGAAAAATATAAATAATTATAATCTATTTTAAACCTTTAATGCATAATATGTTTTTTATCATGAAATTTGTGAGGTTTTAACTTATCTTTGTGTTACAGCTCTTTGCATTGATTAAACCATTGAATAGGACATTGACATTATATGGGCGCTTGTTTATCAGGTGTAAACCAAGCCTATTGCATACTAGTTAAATGTTTATTGTTAATTAGTAATATAATTGATTGCATGTGATTCTTAAAATAAGTAGTTTTGATAAATAGTCATAATAGAAATGTCATAAAAACTTAAAGTGTTTTCACAATAAATGAATAGTATTAACTTAAGTTAATGAAGTCTACCTGTGATAGTAGGTAAGTTCATTTCAATTCATTTAATACCTGAATTTTTTACTATTAAAGTTGTTTGTTTACTGTTGACAAGTTACGCCACGATAAGGAGATTGTTTACAAATGATTATCGACAGGTAATATGTCTATATGACATATACCTGTCATTATTTTAACCCTTACCTCTTTGGCAAAACGAGGGGTATGCTGTTACAGAGGATGCTTTGTTAAGGTCCAGGGCTGAGGGCATCTCTGAACCCCGCCAAGTATTGTCTAGCACGTTCAAACGCTGATGACTGTTGCACGTGCATGAAATTGCACAACAACTCCTTTGAGGGTCCTCGCGACATGAATTTTCACATTCATTCCTGTTATTCGAAGCTTTATAAATCAAACTTTCATAGCCAGACTTCATTAACGATGGATCTCGAGGAGACGTACCTTCCGACGATGAGGTGCAGATAGATTGCAATTTCCAGTCGGCATTTCCGTGCTGTTTGGGTGTGTCTGTCTGTAGGGAGTACATAGACCCGGGTGGAAAGTACCCCGAGTGTGGCCAGGATCCATACATATGGTAGTTACGGTCACAGTTAGCCCCGTCCGCATATGAGGGCAAGTGCCACCCACGAAAAGCATATGGGTTCATCGCTGCCATAGTTCGTCCACACTAACTGAGAAAACTCCGTATGATTATGTAGTTGTGATAGTCTTAATATCACTGTTGTCGAGAATATCCTACTCTACACTTAATGCTGCCACTACCATGTAATGGTGTAAGATATCTGTGACGTATGATAGCTCTTTCACTACCGACCGTAAAATTCTATTGCTTTTCTCAATTCCCCTTCTGCTTGCCTGTCTCACAACTACTAACTGTAGGCTCGCTACATCAACAGTTACTACCGATGTTACTCTCCCCTCCTCAGTATCCTGTGATCGCAGTGAGACTGAGGTATTCCACCAGCCAACCGTGTGGACGACATAGATAGTGTCTATCGGTCCGTTTCTTTTTGTCAAACCAACTCATTAAAATAATAACTACACATCGATAGCTGGCGATCAATTGATTGGTCCTTATGAACGCGGAGTGATGGCGTATGTCGACTGTGCTCTACCTAGGCCCAGTCAGGTCACCGTGCGGCTGCCACTGTCGTCACACATCACTGATTCGCTAGCTTGCTCGTGCATAAAACTAGGGAAAAAACACCATACAGTTGAAGATATAACAAACTGAATGGCTAAATTGCTTTTGTTTTTCTATTATAAATCTATTTGAACGGCTAATTTAAAATTCGATACATCAGCTTCGAGGCAGACCACCTACCGCCAATGAAAAAAAAATACTGTAGAGATGTACGGATATTCAAGTATTCTTTCAATTTGATAATTTTCTACAAGTGCTTCTGAACAACCAGAGTTGTGTCCGGACCTAAGCTATTGGCGTAGCTGCCGTACTTATGGTGGCGGAGGTGAGAACTACCCCTTAAGATTTACCGATGTTTCTTTAGTGAGTGCTAGGGAGAGGAAGTGTTCTTTTCTCGTTGTAGAAGAAATTAATTTTTGTGGAAAAAAAGAAAATGTTGTTTTATCTTCAAAGGAGGTTGTCGGATCATTAGTATTTTAATCACTGACTTTTACTCGGGATGACAGAAGGATATTTCTTATTTAGATTTTATGTACCAGTAAAGGGAGCTCTAGCTGTATACATTGCTACAAAATTCTTGTATTGCAGACACTTTATGAAGGTTCTGAGATAGGTTTTCATGCCGGTCGGTGCCTAGATAAGAGGAAACCAAGCTAATTACTACTGACTAGTGTTATAAATTCTCCTTTATTGAAGTAAATACTAACAGACTACGTATGTATACAGGACCACGAGAGAAGTTGAGAGCATCGGAGACATTGCATGCTGAAAATTTATTTTGTGACTAATAAAAAGTGGCCGAGTAGCCATTCGATACTATGCTGTTTGTCATCAATGTCGCAATTCGATGGATTATAGGGAACAGACTTGTAGTTGTTTTTATCGCAAAATAACTGGTACGTTACCACCATATATATATAATCTTATGATGTTTGTATAGATCTATGGCTTCGGCTTCGATAGTTAAAAACGATATATGTAGGTTTTATATACGTCAATATCATACACTCCGATATCAACATACAGGGGACACATGGTGAACTAATACAAAAAGATAAGGCAATTTATATTATAAATTTATTTTAAATGAAAAAGTATTTTGAAAGCATTTTTATCGTAGATGACATAACAGAAGATATATTTCATAATTGAACATAAAACAGAATTTATTCATTTAGATATGAAATATAGGATTACACTTTTCATATAATACTGTATTCTAAATTTAATTGAATAAAATGAAAAATGCATTTCGTTAAATCTAATTAACTTTTATGAGACACATTTCAGCAAGACAGGCCAACCTCTGAAATAACATAGATTGTAATGCAAAAAAGATACTATTGTTTTTACAAATACCATACAAAATACATGAGATATTATCTTCAATCGCCTTTCTTCAGATATTTCTGTTGAAGAAAATATAAATGATTTTATATCGCATAACGTAAAATGATCTTTTCCTATATCCGATCAAAGAGGATATTTATTTCAATAGCTTCTTCTGTTTCATCGAAGGTTAAACATGTCAAAATCAATTTAATACTTGTCCCAATACTGATTTCATTTGTCTTATTATCAAATTATATGTTTCCCCGCGATTATATTGGTTCATGGGTGGCCCGCTTTATACAATTATGTTTGCTTGTTTACTGGATAAACATTATACAAGCTATGTAAACAACTCTTTGATGTTACAGCTCATATTATTGAAATATGTGAAAATGACAAAATACATAGAAACTTGAATACATTTTATGATAGATGGCTTTTGTCTTTAGATGTAATCAATCAATTTCAATTTAATGTCAATTCATATTTTCAGTTAATAAAATTTTCCGCTAAATTATAATAAAGACAGGTCTTTTTGACATTATCAGAGTATATGACTACTTACTGAAATAACATCTTTTATATACTTTGTAATTGTTATAAAGTGATATGTATTGTTCATTCCTGTATATAGTTATATTCAATGACATATAATTAGAAAAAGGAAGATAATTACTTTCATTATTTAAATATGCGTTAAACTATTTTCCCACAGTTTTAAATGGAAATATTAACTTTGGACATTAAATTTGTCAAATGTGTACAATCAGACATCGCTGCGTGCAAGCTATGTATATATCATTTTTAAATAACAAAACAATAATACCTGTTTTACTTATTAGACCAATTAATGTACGTTGACATCGGAATCAAGTTAACATAGGTTTACATATTAGTCTATTTAATATGTTAGTAGTCAAAGTTACTGAAGATATGACACCACAATTCCGACTAAGCTATTGTAAGTATAGTTTAGTTCAGTACAAATTGCCTTAAGCTATATTAATTATTTTATGGTACTTTGTGTAAGTTATCCAAGATATATATATATATGAATGATCATATGTCAACATTTTGATGATAAAATTAAATATGGTTAATAAGGTTGTTATAACAGAAACGGTAGTTAATGCTTATTTACCGTGGGCAATCAATTACAATAATATGCAATAAGTTTTAGGTTTCTTCCCTTGCTCACGTTAAAAAGATCAAATCCTTACCACTTTTAATTGTGCCTGGAATTTCTGTGTTAACAATTGCCAAATTGCTTTATATACTTTATACATTTTGTACACTCATCAACACAGTGTAGTGAGATTTGATACTGAGCTACCGGCTAGTTCACAATTATGATACATAGCAGGGAACATAAAACAATATATTTGAACTGAAGTTTCTATGATCAGGAAGCTTCATAAACAACTTTCAATTATGGACAATGAATACATGTTATATTTATATATTAATATATAATTTAATAAATGTCATTATAGTCGGTTTTTGAAATGTTGCATTTTGTCATGCATTTATATTAAAGAGAGTCATGATCATACTTTATCAGAAGACAAATTTGAAAAGTTACCTTACTCAGTGCCTATATAAAAATTATCTGTGTTCAGTATGAACACAAAATGCATGTTTCAACACTATTAGATCTCATAGTTCCCCAAGTGAATCCATTGCATATTACACTTTAAGTTAAGAATAAAACATACATCCTAGATGGATTCAGAAAGAAATTAAACACAATATACTACAGTGACAAAACCCCTAAAATTAATGATGGGCCGAAACGGTTAGTTTTAAGAATGATAATTATTATGATAAATAAATGGGCGAATTTTCTTTTCGGGATGACAATGACGTATTTCTTCTTCCGAAATATCTTACTTCTTTTTCTTTCAAATCATTTATTTTCATTTAATGATTTTACAATGAACTAAAACTGCATCGATATGTTAACAGCAAAACACAATCATGAAAGCGCATAAAACGTGGTTGACATATAACATAAGTATTTATTTCCAAACAAAATTCATGTTTAAGAGCAAACTAACCAATGCGTAGTCTACTTCCATATAATTGAAGTATTCAGCACTTATCAGTCTCAATACGTAGACGAAAGGAAGAGTGCATAATAAACTCGAATAGAGTACTTTATAGTTTAACCTAAAAAGATACATATGAGCGATATGCCATTGAACATTGGAACATCTCTTCCTTTCATTGTGTAAAGTTACTTACACTTGGGTGGCCAAACAGAAACAAACTATGATATTATCAAAACATGATACTGAATACTAATATCTAGAAAAAACGTCGGTGTATGGAAAGACTAGAAGGACATTGTATGTTGAATGTATAAGAATAGTGACTTCTTAAAAGACATTTCATTAAAAGGATTTCATTTCAAACACATCGTGTGAATTGTTCTCCAAATGTGTCGGTTTATGAACAATATGAAATTTGACAATTGTAGAAAATACTGTTGAATGACGGTGAAAAAAATGTAACAATTTGAAGGAAAATATTAATGCATTTTTCAAAAGTGATTAAAGGACAAGTTCTGTCTACAGTACTACACAATATCATAGCACTACCAAAACTTCAACAATTCAGGACCCCGCCTCCCCCTCCCAATTGTTTTTAAGAAAATAGATACAACTAACGAATGTATGAATATCACTTTTTCATTTTTCTTCAATTGAATAAAAAACAATCTTAACATATGACCCTATAAAATCACTTAGCCCTGGAGTGATATATAAATTGTTTAAATGTACCTTACCTTTTACAATCCTTAAGCCACATAAACTCAGACTTATGATAAATCTAATGTGTATACGATATGAGCCCGCCCTATAGGCATGCTATTGTTTTGATAATGCTTTAGACATACGAGTATATCGTACGTTACGTCTACGACTGTACTACACATATATACACTAAAAGTTGTTTCAAATCAATAGTTTATTCATATTTATAAATAAGGGTAAAACATTAATATGATAATGTAATTAACGTCAGGTAAGTTGTCATTTTCAAAATGCAATTCGCATGCCAACAATTATAATTATATGCTAATGTTACCTTTACGCAAAATAGATGTTTACCTGTGTACTTGTTACATAACCTAGACGTATAAACTTATGTATTTAAATATATTTGATTTGTCATATCTCATGTTCTCGTGCGAGATAAATAATACTATTAATTGGCATTCATACTATTTTCGATTTGCCATAAATGAATTATTTTAACGAAAATGTTTTATTTCACATGTAAATATCAATACATCTCATTAAATGCTTGTATATTCATCGCAAAAATAACCCCATAGTTTGTAGTTACAATATGCATCTATATAGCGAACAGTTAAAATAATGAAGTTTATAGTATAACAAGTACTTATGTTAATATACATTCTATTGTGCATCTTTAAAAATATTCTTTACTTCTTACCATCAACATGACATTCCAAGCTGAATTACAATATTAATAATCTCTTGATAATATCGTAATCGTATATAGCGTATACTGTTTTCTTTATATCAACTCCATACTTATAACTGTGTGGTTTTCACCAGAAGGATTCTATCATAACTTTTGCATTTAGTGAGAGCAAATATATGAATATG